GAAGATTGGTGTAGGAGGCTATTTTCATGTTTAGCCTGCATTTAGTAGTTTTTCAGTGTTCCACAACTGTAAGAGATTTTCCCATCAGGAAATATTAGACCATTAGTTGCTCATTTCTATACATGCTAAAGAAAAAAAAAATATATATATATATACATATATATATATATACATATATATATATATATATATATATATATATATATATATACATATACATATATATATATACATATACACATATATATATATATATATATATATATATATATATATATATATATATATATATATATATACGGTGGCCCTGAAGTGCAAACCACAAAAACAAATCACTTAACGCAACAACAAATTGAAACACGCAACAACAAATTGAAACACGCAACAACAAATTGAAACACGCAACAACAAATCACTTAACGCAAAAACAAATCACTAAACGCACAACAAATTGAAAAGCGCAACAACAAATTCACTAAACACAAAACCAAATTGAAAACCACAAAAACAAAACACAAACCGGAAAAGGTAGGTACCAATGCTGCAAAAACAGGCATCACTGATTGGATGATGGATCCGTTGGCCTTTTGAACCGTAAGTTGTTCTGCCGAACGTGGTTATGTGAAAGAGCAGTCAGCGGGTGTGTCCGAATCCACAGGCAGGATGCTTACGAGTACGGGTCCTCGCCGGTCTAGCAAGGCTGGGTCCTTGCCAGACCGCTAAGACCGGAACCCAGCGGCTCTGAATTCGGACAGTCTAGCCTTCACCTCTACGGTGGCCCGTAGGTCCCGTCACAGCCGTGGCGGCAGCTACATGCTAAGGAAAAATGCTAAAGCTAGCGACAATCGAGCAGGAATATTAAGGAGCTACAGCTGCTTCACGTCCATCAGCAGCGTTTGTTCACAACCGTTTTCAGGTAAAGTAACTTTGTTTATTCTAGAAGCTTTCAGGACTTACATGTTAACTTTAGATGGTTTCATGTATGTTTTAAGCTACAGAATGAACTTGTTAAGCATACACAACACATTACTACAGTGTATTATCATGTAGGTAATTAATATAAACCAAATGCATTATAAATGCCGTAGAAATCTAAAAAGCTTAAAGCGGTTCAGTTTATAGACATATTTCGTTTGAATATGTGTTTTTAAAATTACATTTTAGGCAGAAATCACCCAGAACGAGTTTGTTTCGCAGGTCCCAGTTATTCCTGTGTGTGTGTGTGTGTGTGTGTGTGTGTGTGTGTGTGTGTGTGTGTGTGTATGTGTGTATGTGTGTGTGTGTGTGTGTGTGTGTGTGTGTGTGTGTGTGTATGTGTGTATGTGTGTGTGTGTGTGTGTGTGTGTGTGTGTGTCGAATTAAACTTGTCATTTGTTTTAAGGACGACGGAGCAAAGAAGCGTTTTTATTAAGCTTAGAGGTGAAGAGTTTACACACACAACCACAGAAGTTCTTCTGTGAAAAGTAGTTTTACATTCAGGGATTTACAGCTGACACGATTTAATGAAGTAAAAAGTGTTTGTGTGAAGAATAAAAGTTTTATCTTCTCATGTGGATAAATGAAAAAATGTGTTTATTGCCTTTTTGTCACCTGTGGTCTCTGATTTTCTCTGTTAAGGACTGCAGGTGTCCAGGGTCAGGAGAGACTTTACCTGGTTGTCATCCTGGGAGAGAGGCCTTCTACTGTCATCATGTTAATGTTATTTAGTTGTTTGTTTGATATTTGAACACATTTATTAAAACAAATACTAACTGATAACTCTTTCTGGTCATTGATTTTATCACCAGTTTTATTATTACAGACGTTTTTGAACATGTTACATGAACAGAAAATGAAAAGATGGTAAGGAGACAAGACTATTTATAATACGTTACACTTATTTACAGATCAAAACCAGTATGGACCAGTTTTGTACGGTTAAAGCAGGATTAACCTGAGTGACCCTTCCTGGATCATTTATTTAAACGGAGTGAGCAGGAAGTCTTTAACAGTGCAGCTGGATCTGCTGCAGGAGGATCCAGGCGTGGATGGAGGGCTGGAACAGACCCGTGGCTGGACGTTTCTGGCCAGAGGAACATCATACAGGACGGTCTGCAGAGAGAGCTTTGGGACGCTTCCTCTCACTGTCCACTCCATCGTCCATCTACAGGGACTGCTGGGCTGGCTCAGACGACGGCTGTTACATTTCTGTGAATGACTTGCCTGTTAACAGTAGTGGTGGTCTGCTGGTACCTCCTGCAGGACAGAGCACCACTGACCTCCTCCGCACACATCTTCCACACACTCTTCCTCCAGACCCACAACTTCACCAGCACAGAGGCAGATGTGCAGCACAGTGCATGCTAACTTGTAATAGATTAAAAAAGAGTTTTTTTTATTGAAAAATGTAAAACAAAACATAACCTGCAGTGCACTGGTTCTGTTCAGTTTAAAGAAAAGCAGCAGTGAATAGTTAAATAAAAACTACAGAGAATTTACATTTTTAAGACAGATCTAATCTATATTAGGCTTAAGTTGAATGAAGAAATGCACATTGAAAACAGTTCAATGCTATTTTATTAAAAAGCCCGTTTTTTTTTAAAGTTTTACCCCCATTTGATGCAAAATAAGTTCTAAGGTCCAATTTACATTAGAACACATCCTTCTGAATTCAACATTTATAATGCATTTGGTTTATATGAATTACCTACATGATAATACTCAGTAGTAATGTGTTGTGTATGTTTAACAAGTTCATTCTGTAGCTTAAAACATACATGAAACCATCTAAAGTTAACATGTAAGTCCTGAAAGCTTCTAGAATAAACAAAGTTACTTTACCTGAAAACGGTTGTGAACAAATGGACGTGAAGCAGCTGTAGCTCCTTAATATTTCTGCTCGATTTTTTCTAGCTTTAGCATTTTTCCTTTGCGTGTAGCTGCCGCCACGGCTGTGACGGGACCTACGGGCCACCGTAGAGGTGAAGGCTAGACTGTCCGAATTCAGAGCTGCTGACTTCCGGTCTTAGCGGTCTGGCAAGGACCCGGCCTTGCTAGACAGGCGAGGACCCGTAATCGTAAGCATCCTACCTGTGGATTCGGACACACCCGCTGACTGCTCTTTCACATAACCACGTTCGGCACTTCCGGTTCAAAAGGCCAACAGCATTGGTACCTACATTTTCCAGTTTGTGTTTTGTTTTTGCACTTTTCAATTTGTTGTTGATAAAAAGCTGTATTTGAAAATAAACAAGTACAAAGTTATCTTTTCTCATTTTTTAAGTTTTCAGTATAACTTCCACATCTCTGCCCACTTTATAACTTCAGTCCAAACCTTCAGCTGAAGTCAGGCCAAGCTACACGTCAGAGGAGAAGGAAGTGATGGTGAGAACCACAGGAACTTGCTGAGGTCTGCTGTTGGTTGGCCTGTTGACCAGCCAAGCTAATTTCACACTTCCCTGGAACCTATAGTGCCTCTAGAGTTACCGCTTGGCATGAACAGGTAGGTCGGAAACTGGTGGAAGATGAGGTGATATTATAAAATTAAACAAACAAAAACTCAAGGACAGCATCAGTCTTACTTGGATAAAGGTTCTCTTCACTGAGACCGGCTGATCTTCTTTAATGTGTGGAGAAACTTTATAACAAAGCGTTGTTTCTTTTCACTTTACAAAACCAGACTTGAAGTGAAATAAAAAGGTTTATTTTCTGTTGCTGGACACGTTAGTGGCAGTGCAGACCTACAGCAGAAGACAAGAATTAGTTTTTGTTAAATATTTGGCCCTCACGACATTTATAGGAAAGTGGCTGAACAATGCAGGCTATAAATGAATAAGATAAAGAGTTAATTGTTCTAAGGCTGCAAAACACACAGCTATAAGTGTATTCATTACCAACGATTGGGTTTTATTTAATAAGGAACCAACTGTGTTGTAAATTATTATATCTGGGCTTTTTCTAAAGATCGAAATTTTCATTTTAGCCTTTTCCTAGAGCCAGATTATAATATTTATTTCCTTAATTTGATTAAGTAATTACTTTATTAGTATATTCAGCTTTTTAATTACCTCTTAACAAGTTAAGCACTTCAATGAAACACAAATGAAGCTTTTATAGGAACGGATCAGTTTCAATGAATTAAAATAAATCAGTTCAAACTGAAAAAAGAGTGATAAATGAATCAATACAGTAAATAAATAATCACTTATTCACTATTTAACACAAACCCAATTAGACTGGGGGCCAACAGGATTTTGATGATGTTTCATTGAGTTGTTATATGTTTTATATGCAAGTAAAACACGTATGAAACCTAAAAATACAACATTAATATGTTGACTAGTGTTCCTCGTAGCTCTAATTTCAGATTGCATTCACCGTCTCCTAATCTACACCCCGTAACAGATCGGCAGGCTTCAAACAGTCCCAGTGGTCGTCTTTACTACCCCCTTTCCATCTGTCTACCTCCAACCTGCAAAGGCACCCAAACCCAGCAGCTTGTATTTAACATGAAACACAGTTTTCAGCTGTCTGTCTTCTTGCCACGACAAATGCAACATCTCAGCAGAGCTCGTTAAAAACTGGGCTGTTTGTTATTCCCTACAGGCACCGTTCTTCTGCTTATGTTAACCCTGAAAAGAGCACATCAGCAAACCTTTCTGCAGATCACATCATGACGATTTCTGATTTGTATTTCAGTTTAAGTCCAAACAAACTTCTGTATGCAATAATAATGAACCACTGGGGGATTTGATGTTGTGTTTTTCTCCATGCAGACTGGGGCAGATGGAGTCTGGTGACTAACCAGTGATTCATACACAGCGAGTGATTCGTGCACATCAGATGAGGCTTTTACATGTGTGGAATAGGGTTTCTACATTAAAGGTTAATTTAGATATTATTTATTTAGAGTAAATATAATAAATGAGTCAACTGTGGAGTGAGAAATGAAGGCAAAGCTTATTTGTTATTTTTGAAGCAGAGTTTTAAGTATTAATCAAAACAGGAAGTGAAACACGGACCTGAGTCTTCCACGTGGGCCGTATCCATGAGGGTAGCCGTGGCTGTGGGACCGTCTGGGAACTGGTTTGTCCTCTTCATGCCTGTGATGTAGTGAAGGTGAGCGGGAATGGGAGGACCTGGAGCTGCCAGTACTCTGAAGGCTGCTGTCAGGGATCTCTCCATGACGACTCTGACGGAAAGCAGGAAGTCAAAAGATTGTCACATTCATGTCAACAATTCAGTCATGGTGGTCTTACTTCGCCAAGGCTGCTGTGCTGCTGACTAAAAGCTGGGAGACTGTGCAGCGAGGGAACGGGGGAGTGACCCTTGCGGCCGCGGATTTCCCGGTGAGGCTGAGTGTGGATGTGATCGTGATCGCCATTAAGGTTATTGTCACTCGCGGAGCGAAGAAGGGAACGAGGCGAGGGCAGGGGGCCAGTCGTCGCTCGTCGGCGGTTGGTGTAGTAAGGAGTCTCCCTGAAAGGCACTAAAACAAACAACAAAACAAGCGGATTAATTATTGATCTAATAGAGAAAAGAACACAGGACTATGTGTTCTCAGTCTGACCCTAACCCCAACAAATGGTCATATTTGATAATGCAGGCAATTAATTTTATAAAAGCCATAAATAATAATCTCTCAACATTAAAAATAAATGTAAAATGTGCAAAGACCAATAGAACTGGTTCTGTTTATACCATTTGCACGATTTCTTGTTTATTAGAGCTAATTGATAAAAGACAGGAAGTATTTGCATAAACATGACTTTAGAGTACTACAGCCTGTCCACACCAGATGGCAGAGTTTTCCTGTGTGTTATTTTACAATGAGGCTTAACTCCAACCCTAAACACATCATTTACATCTCCTGTTTAGTTCTTTTGGTCTTCTTCCATTAAACTCTTCTCAAAATCCCTCTGCTGTCCAGCTTCAGTCTAAAACGTGTCTGACTATAAAATGAACGTCTAAAACACCTAGTTGCTTCACTGTTGCTGCCAACTCACCAACATCTGATGCTTTGTGGACCTTAATGATTTCTGCTAGATCAAAGTTTCCTGCTATAATAGCCACCTGATGAATAAAAAAGAATAAATACAGATAAGAATACAGATTAAAAAAGTTATTTTTACATTTTCTATCTCTGTGCATATCAAGCAGGTTTACTCATTCATGATCTTTTGTGTTTATTTTAGAAGTGTGGTGATGCACCACACACATTTAGCTTCATTTACACAAACACATTTGCTTTCATTTACATATTTTGACACAACACCTACCTGAAAAGCAGTCTGGCTATTGTAGTTCTTTAACTCTTTATTGGCTCCTCTGAAGAGAAGGACTCGTGCACAGCTATCCTGAATGACGGAGAGATTTATGTTGTTGGATGAGGCCACTGTTGGTGTCAGTAACAACAGTATTTTATGTGTCACGTTACATTTGGTGCACCTGAGCATTACTTGTGTGCCAAGCAGGGAAAGTGATGATCACCGTTGGGTAAAAGATGTGTGTAGACTCCGTTGTTTTTGAATAAAAACACTAAAAGTTGAAGTTAATCTAATCATCAACTTTAGAACAAAGACTGATGGAAACCGTAAACTCAATAAGTTCCAATAATCTGCAAACATGGTGCCACTCGCAAAAACATTTGATTTCAATTAAAACACATCAAAGGAAAACACCTTGATTCATTCAGACAGATTTGGACTGAATAATTCCATTTCTAAATTAGAACTGCAGTCATTCAAACACTCTACATGTGAAAAATAACAACAAATATGTAAACTGGTCTAGAGTTGTATGAATTGAAATGCACTGTTATTCTCTACAGCTGAACTTACACAGCCTTTACTACTAGAGTGTCCGCCCTGGGACTGGGACACCGGGGTTTGATTCCCGGCCGGGTCATACCAAGGACTAAAAATGGGACCCAATGCCTCCCTGTTTGACACTCAGCTTTAAGGGGTTGGATTGGGGGGTTAGACCTCCAAATATTTCCTGAGCGCAGCCACCGCTGCAGCTTACCGCTCCCTTCCATGGAGATGGGTCAAATGCGGAGATGAATTTTACCGGTATGTGATGATGACTATGGGACTTTAACTTGAGAATTTCTGCTCAAAACATTCTTTAGGGGTTCAGCCTCTAGATAATTCTCTGGCTTGGTGCATTTAATCAGCATCACAACATGAAAACACTTGAGACATACACACTGCCTGGCCCAAAAAATAAGTCACCACAAAAAAAAGAGGTCACACAATCCAATATTTTGTTGGACCGACTTTAGCTTTGATTTGATATGCATTTGCTGGGACACTCTTTCACTATTTGAGCCCGATGAATCCTGGTACTGTCATCCCTGAATATGCCCGTGCCATCAGGGAAGATGGAATAAATATTGTATGAGGATTGCTGTAAAGTCACTGACACCAGTCAGTGACTTGATGCAAATTGCTGGGTTCCTTAGTAGGAAACTTTTTTCTGATTGGCTTAATGAACTGACCTCTATTGGAATGTTTACTGTGTGAAGTGCCTTGAGACGACTCTTGTCGTGATTTGGCGCTTTATAAATAAACTTGAATTGAATTGAATTGAATAACCTGGTCATTCAGTATATTCAGGTGGTCAGCTGACCTCATTCCTGGAGCACTTCCTGTTGTTGAACCTAGACCTGACCAACTGCAGCAACCCCAGATAATGGCACTGCCCCCACAGGCTTGTACAGTAGGCACTAAGCATGATGGGTGCATCACTTCATCTGCCTCTTCTTATCGAGATGCACCATCACTCTGGAACAGGGTCCATCTGGACTGAGACCAGTTTTTAATAATGCATTGGACAATTTTTCTTAAAATATATTTCCTGAGTTTTTCCTTTTCAGAAATTATGTATGATTTTTCAGAAATCCGTAAAAGTGATAATCTTATGTGATATAATGTAAGCAATATGTCTTTTTTATTTTAATTTTTTTGCTAAGCATGCCCCCTGCCCCACAGAGCTCTGTGCAATAGGAAACCTGAACTAACCAATAGCGTTGGACTACCGCTCATGTGCTTTACGTTTAAGGAATACCTCAGCTAATGCAGTGATGATGAACTTTTCACAGACAAGTGAGTTTCTAAAATATAAATACATGAAAACACAACATGACATGGGAATAATGCTTGTGAAACAACAAGCTCTATTTGACAGCTACAGAAGTACATTTATAAACAAGAAACATGAAGTTGCCATCTTAAAAAAATGGATCAAGACACTATTTGTGTGATATGCTTGTCAGCCAGTAGATGGTGCCATCGGATAAGAGAAGTACTCCGGAAAGAGACTAACCCAGTTGTAGTTGTTTCTGAAATCTCCTTGCTTGATGCATGCCGATGATCTGACCTTTCTCAAACAGACTAACATCTTTTCCAAAACCACCAGATGTGTCTTTTCACATGGTTGTTTAAGAAATGAGAAGCAACTCATTTAACCCGTTGGGGTTAAATAACTTGATGCAAACAGAAACTGCCCATGCAGTAATTATCCAATAGGGGGCTCATGCCTATTTGATTAGTTAAATCCAGGTGGTGACTTTATTGTATGGCTGGGCTGTGTGTAACCCTACCAGACATTCAATTGTACATGTTGGCCAGAGTATCTGTTTACAGTTCTGTGCTGCATTGGCTTTCCAATTCAAGTTTTCATGCAATTACAGAAGCACTTAAATTTTAAGGGAAATAATTCAGCAGCTCTAAAAAAAAAATCTCGAGCAACAGTGAAGTTCAGTTCAGCTTTTGTTAAACAGAAATATACTTTTTGGCATTGCTTTGGGTTGAATAAATTCTTATTTATATAAATATTGCATTGTGCAGCGGTATAGCTCAGAATATAGAGCATGTGGTCTAGTAGGAGGAAGGTTGCAGGATCAATCCCAGCATTGGAATGTGTGTCCAATTTATATTATGTTCTAGCTTAGAAAATTGGGTAATATTTACTAATATGTGTCAGATATAGTTCACCCAATTCCTTTATGTATTTCTTAACTTTGAATATTAGGTACTATTAACAAACATTTATGCGGTATAAATTAACAAACATTGTGTGCAAATTGTTATCTCAATTTTATTGGGTAGTTTCTATAGGTAGCGTTTTATAGTGTGCTATTGGTGTGATCTAAACCAACCAGTCCATGAAACACATGCATGAATGTGAGATTAATGAATGAAAAGAGAAAATAAATGTTAAAACAATCATTTAATTGTAGCTTCTTGAACACAAAAGTGCCCATACACATCATGTGAAATGAGAAAGAAAACACACCAGTAGTTTCAACTGACACAATAATGATGATGATTTTCCAACAGTTAAAAAACACAGGATGAACTAAATCTTCCAAATCTTTTATGTGTTCTTCAAAACCATCTGACAGCATTGAAACCAAGTATTTTTCAATTAGTTTCTTTGGTTATGAATCAAGAAATCATCCAACTGAAAAGACACTGCTGACATGCAGAAAGAACAAAGGCCCACCAAATTGAAGCATTGTAACTTGGATGCGATAATTGTTCTTTATCTTTCCAGCGTGGGAGCCATTTTTAACTCCTAACATGAATTGTGTTGTTACCTTTTATTTTAGCACTCAGTAATGAGAAGAAAAGTCTAAACTTATGGAAACTAAAACTCATCTTTAAGTTGTGATCATGGCCCTAAGCAGAAATGTGATTAAATTATCTCTAACAAGTTGAACAGAGACTTATTTATCATTAAATGTCTAATCCAGTAATATAATTGTTGCTTTTAATAGTTTACAAAAAAGAGCTACAAAGAGGATATGTTGTAAATCACACAAAAGATTTTATTTATTTGGCTTTTTAAAAATGTCTAAACTAATCAACATGTCATTAGCTGAGAAGAAGGACAATGGGTCCTCCAAAAAGGTAACTGAGCGGTCGGTCACTGTCATGGTGGAGATGGAGGGAAAACATGGAAAAATTGGTATTTAGTCACCCACTCATTGTGCAAGGCTCTCACTCCAAAAGATGAGAGGCCTGTAATTTTCATAGGTATACCTCAACTATGAGACAAAATGAGAAGAAAAATCCAGAAAATTTGACTGATTTTTCATGAATTTATTTGCAAATAATTGTGGGAAATGAGTATTTGATCAATGACGAAATTCCATCTCAATACTTTATCTACCCTTTCTTGGCAATGACAGGGCTCAAACATTTTCTGTAGGTCTTCACAAGGTTTTCACACACTGCTGCTGGTATTTTGGCCCATTCCTCCATGCAGATCTCCTCTGCAGCAGTGATGTTTTGGGGCTGTTGCTGGGCTACATGGACTTTCAACCCTCTCCAAAGATTTTCTATAATTTTGAGAACTAGAGGCTGGCTAGACCACTCCAGGGCCTTGAAATGCATTTTATGAGGACACTCCTTTGTTTACCTGGGCGGTGTGTTTGGGATCATTGTCATGCTGAAAGACCCAGCCATGTTCATCTTCAATGCCCTTGCTGATGGAAGGAGATGTTCATTCAAAATCCAACGATACATGGCCCCGTTCATTCTTTCCTTTACACGGCTCAGCCGTCCTGGTCCATTTGCAGAAAAGCAGTAGCCTGGCCTGCCAGACTCCTCCCCTGTTTAATTCTGCACAGAGAGAGTCTAGGAACACTCCTATTCAAATAACCCCACCCTGTGAGAATTCTAACCGAGCCAATCAGCTCTGAGTAGCATACGTCGCAAAACCTTCTAAAGAAAGATGCTTGAGCTGTCGCCAGACGCTATTTTTGACCACAGCTAAAAAACTACAGTGTTGCGGACGTCACACACAACAACGCTCAGTTTCTCATAAACAACAACGACAGCGGCGGAGTTTGTTGCAGCTTTTCTTCTGTTCTGAATGACTTGAATGTCTTTAAAACCACACCAAGTAGAAGCGCTAAAAGCATCTATTCTAAAAAATAAATAAATAAAAGATGTTTGCGCAGTTGCCAGATGCCTTTTGTTTACTACATTTTAAAAAACTACAGCGTCGCGTGGTGCAGCCGGCATTTCCGTCTATTTTGTGATTGGTTATTTTTGAGCTGCCTAGCCCCGCCCCTCAAGTGCCTCTCTGCCTTTGACTTACCAGACTCCCTCTGTGCAGGATTAAACAGAGGACGAGTCTGGCAGGCCAGCCTAGAAAAACAGCTCCAAAGCATGATGTTTCCACCCCCATGCTTTACAGTAGGTATGGTGTTCGTTGGATGCAACCCAGCATTCTTTCTCTTCCAAACACAGCAAGTTGAGTTTATCAAAAAGTTCTATTTTGGTTTCATCTGACCATACGACATTCTCCCAATCCTCTCCCGAATCATCCAAATGTGCTTGCTCAA